AAATTTTAGTAGTAAACACTTGATATGATAATAAATTATTATAAAATGAGTATAAAATTTAGTATACATATAGTATAGTGCATACATATGTATTACACATGGATTTGTATGTTTCCGGCCTAACCACGTTTGTGCCACGTGAATAGCATGTGCAGCTAAAATGACTATATTATTCGTGCATGGCATGGGGGTTATGTATCCTTTGATAGTTTACTATCACATGCCCCATCCATAATTTGTCCCAACATAAAACCCATTGTGACACCCTACCAATTCTTGTTTTCGTTCTATTCTCTAACCAATCTCTATTTTTAGACTCATTTTATTATTATTATTTTTTCTATGGTACTGATAATATCAAGTACAATCATATACATGGTGTACTTATTGTATCGAATACTACTGACACCAATACGATTAATACCTGTGTAAAAAAAATAGTATATATATGAGCGTTACTCTGTTAAACTTTTTGATACGATCACACATCGAATCAATAAAAGATTGTGGAGTGGTACTTAATTTAAAGTTAAACGTCCACTATTGAGATGAGCTATTTTTTTGTGATGGAGCTCGTGTATGTCTTCTCTTGAGCGTGATATCTTTTTTATGTGAATCATATAAATATCAATCATATATATATATATATATGTGTGTGTGTGTGTGTGTGTGTGTGTGTGTGTGTGTGTGTGTGTGTGTGTGTGTGTGTGTGTGTGTGTGAGAGATCAAAATGAATTGGGTTTAGTGGAAATTCATCTAGTGGGGACAAAAAATTAAAATAAAAGTTATATTTTGAAAAAAAACAATTAATCAAGCAAGAATATTCAAGTTCTTGACCTTTACTAAAATACACAATACTTAACCATCTAAGAACTTCACCTTTAAGCCTTTGAGTAATAGATATCTATATTATTTAGTAATATCTAAACATTTACTCTCTCTCTCTCTCTCTCTCTCTCTCTATATATATATATATATATATATATATATATATATATATATATATAGAGGGTGAATCAACGATTTGGTCCCTCACTTATTTGCGACTTGTCAATGTTGCCCCTGAATCACGTATTCATCGATTTAGTCCCCAAAAATAATTGTTTTTCGTCAAATCAGTCCCTATGGCCGTATTCCGTCAAGTCTCAGGCGAGAGCTCCGATTTGCCCTGGGCATTTTGGTATTTTCACACTTTCTTCTTCATTAACTCCGACCAAGCTACGCCGGAGAAGCTCAAGCTCGCCGGAGGGAGCTCCATCTCTTCTCTGCTTGTCGAAATTAGCTCATCCGCAGTAGTGATTCATCTTTCTTCGACGACATTCCATCGTCGTCAACGTCAGCTTCACCTCCGATTTCCAAGAAGATACGCCGCTCTTCCTCCACTTCTCCTGTTCGGTTCTCGGTTGTGCCGTAGCCGACGAGCCTATTTGATCAGCTAATTACTGATCAGAACAAAACAAGTAGCTAATTATTGGTTCCATGGCTAAACTGCGGAGTAATGACGAAATGAGTTTTTGGGGATGAAAAATTAAATTCAATACTAAGTAATTACACTGACGAATAAAGAATGGTACAAATCATAACTTCTGCATACAGTGAATTGACAGCAATGAATCAGTCCAAAACAAAGTCCAAAGATCTGTATGTATACATGTATATGTATTTCAGTGATTGCACAAAATGGTACGAACCTTGCAGTTATTACAGGATCTCTCTCCGGGCGGCGTATCCGTACTGCGATCGGCGAATATTCTGCTGCCGCTTCTTGTAAACCAGCGCGCCGAGCCCTACGACGCACACGCCTGCGATGACTCCGACAGCGATGCCTGCTTTCTTACCCCCGCTCATTCCACCGCCGGAAGATTCACCAGCCTGTAACTCGCCTGCGTGGCTAACATCGTTTGCATCATCAGCATCGGGAGCTGGAGCAGGGGACGGAGACGGAGTAGACTCCTCCGACGGCGCTGATCAAATAGGCTCGTCGGCGACGGCACAACCGAGAACCGAACCGGAGAAGTGGAGGAAGAGCGGCGTATCTCGGAAATCCTGCGAGCTTGAGCTTCTCCGGCGAAGCTTGGTCGGAGTTAATGAAGAAGAAGGTGTGAAAATACCAAAATGCCCAGGGCAAATCGGAGCTCTCGCCTGAGACTTGACGGAATACGGCCATAGGGACTGATTTGACGAAAAACAATTATTTTCGGGGACTAAATCGATGAATACGTGATTCAGGGGCAACATTGACAAGTCGCGAATAAGTGAGGGACCAAATTGTTGATTCACCCTATATATATATATATATATATATATATATATATATATATATATATATATATATATATATATATATAATAAAGTTCAAATGCGGCGGGGTCTTCCCGTGCGGCGGTGCGGCGGAATTCCAGAATACACCAACAATGTTAACAATATGCACCAACAGCGTAAGAAAAACACACCACAGTGAAATGCAATAAAACATCACAAAATACACAACAGACTCAAAAAAATACACCATATAACTCACCACCCCCAATGGTGTATTTGTGAACAGTGTATGGTGTTTTTACTCACACCTAATGGTGTGTGTTTGGTGATGCAGGGCTCTGTTTACTCTGTTTTGTGTGGTGTATTTTCCTAACGTTGATGGTGCATATTTGTTGAACTATTGGTGTTGCCGCACTGTAAGAAATCGCCGCACCATATATATATAAAAGGGTCCCCTATATATATGGGGTGAGGTGGGATGGTGGAGGGGGCAACTGCCCCAACTACTCCTATACTGACTCCGCCCATGAGCATGCACTAAGTAAAGTGTTGACCTCTCTTTAGTCAATAGGTTAAAACTAAACAACACTATTAAGAAAAGGATTTGAAATATATATATATATATATATATATATATGGTCGAGAATAAGAAAAAATTTCACAAATGTTATAATCATTTCAGTAGAAATAAGATAAAAAATAGTCATATTATTAAATATATGAAAAAAACAAAAATGACAAAATTTATATATATATATATATATATATATATATATATATATATATATATATATATATATATATTAGATTCTTTAGTTAAACAAACATATAAGTTAAAGTCAGTTAAAAGCTAGACGTGAGGATAAAAGAATTATTATGACTAAAGGTTTTTGGATTCCACGGGCAATAATATAATCCCATTCTTTTGTTTGTTTGAAGGGACAGAGGGGGATTATAATATTTTAATGGACGAAAGGTGAAATTACAGGTTAGGGCATGATAAGCTACTATTAAGAGGCAGGATTAGGGTGTAAAGATGATAATTAGAGAGCCCACTAGGGATAGACAGGACAAAAGACACAAAATCTATCTAACCACATATAATACAAAAGTCACTTTACTGCTTATCGCTAGAAATGACCAAATATGCAAAATGGATAGAAAAGCGAAAACGAAAGAAAGCTACAATTCATTTTTATTTTTTTGAGACACAAATTTTTATTTTATATATATGATTTTTAGTTTTTTTTTTTCTCGAAAGGACAAAACTACCCTTCCATTCCTCCCATGTTCCCAAAAGGATAACACCCACCATAACAAAACTAGTTATTTATTTATTTATTTATTTATTTTGTTTTGTTTTTCCTTTCGAGTCCCAAGAGTTTTGTGGACAAAAGTTCCATCACACCTAATAACTAATTGGAAAGAGATGCATGACGGCGAGGGTGGTTTTGTCATTTCGACGGCGGGATATATAGCAAAGGAGGAGGATTTGAACACTATTGTCTGTTTGCTCCAATGGATTAGGACCGAGCAGGGGCAACGATGATGTAGATGTTTTTCTACTTGAGTACACGACATAACCACATGAAGGTGAAGAGGGATAGACCCTCCTCTCATTCTTGAAATTCGATGCTCCGACTATAATTCAATAGTCAATTAATCTAAAATATAATAATACATACAGTTAACAACTAATTTAACTTTGTTTTTATTCATTATAGGATGCATGCATGATTCAATTCTTACTAATAACAGGTATAAAATCGATTATGATGTAAGCATATGTGTATATAAACGCTAATCACTGATAATACTACGATTTACCTCTTTATTTCTATCAAAACTTTAGGATAGAAACATCAAACAAGTGATCAAGAGCTATTAAGGTTAGAGGTTCGTTTCTTTTCGAATTACTGATCTCCATTTACCATGGTTGGAAAATTCACTAGACATTCCTCGAGTGTCTAGGCGGCGATTAATCGTTGCATCGACACCTATGTATTTTTTATTTTATATTTAAATTTTTTAATTTTTTAAAATTGTTTTTTATTTTTTTAAGACTTGATAATTATAAATTATTTAATACTTTAATAGTAAATACTAAAATATTAAATATTAACCTAAAAAAAAAAATCTAAAGTTTGAACAATTTAAGATTATTTCGTTCAAAACGATGTCGTTTTCAGTGCGACCGACTAGGCGACCTAATCGGTGCCTAGGAGGCCTAAGTGGTCAACGTCTAGGCGACCGACAATTATCTACTTAGACCAGACAATCAGCCACTGATTATGGTGATATGCTAGGCAGCTACGCGTCATCATTAAATAATGAAAAGGAGTTTTTAGCTGGTAAAGCACACTACTAAAACAAGATTCTATCTGAAAAGAAAAATGAGGTACCTAGCAAGCTATACCCTAAGCTAGCTAGCTAATGTAGCCATATAGCTAGGTGATTAAGTTGTGATGGAGGTGTAATTTCTACGACACTTTGGATCTGAGGACAAAAGGGTCCTTTCATCTTTTTGTTTTTTGTATTGTCCACTTGAAAAATTAACCTCTTCCTTTTCTTGTCCCCTCATCAAAACTCAAGACTATCCTCAACCATACAAACATTCACAAATTATTATTCTCTAATTATTATATATATTTTATATTTTATATAATTTAATTTCTCCCCCTTAACCCCCCCCCCACCCAACCCCACCCTCCCCCTACAACCCCCTATATAAACTCCATGTCATCACATCTCTTTCACATACAGCTTCAGCTCTCTCTAGCAACTACAAGAACAAACTTACTAATAATCAATTCATAATTATTAGCTTATTGATTAGAAAATGCCTTCAAGAGTTTCAGACGACGACTTTGAGGTCAACCGGCCTTATGTTCAACAAAAACAATACTTAGACTTGAGCGCGGCGAAGGAATTGCCGGAGTCGCATGCATGGACGACGGCGGCCGACGGCGACGTGGTGGGTGGCGGCGCGGAGGAGTCGATCCCGGTGGTGGACCTGGGGTCGAGGGGCGCGGCGGAGCAGATAGGGCGTGCATGCAAGACGTGGGGTGCGTTTCAGGTGATCAACCACGGCATTTCCGGGGAGTTGCTGTGGCGGGTGGAGTCCGCCGGAAAACGCCTCTTCTCCCTCCCCTTGCACCAGAAGCTGAGGGCCGCCCGCTCCCCCAACGGCGTCTCCGGCTACGGCGTCGCCCGGATTTCTTCCTTCTTCCCCAAACTTATGTGGTCGGAAGGATTCACCATCGTCGGCTCCCCGCTCGAACATTCCCGCCTTCTTTGGCCCCAAGACTTCAACTCCTTCTGGTACGTATAGTATACACTCACTCCTATATCCTCCTCATGCAAACACATCAATTATACAAAATATTTAATGCATTCATTCCCCACACCAATACTTCACAAAAGGTGAAATCGCCTACCCTAGACGCCCTACACCTGACCCGACAAGACCAGGGGTAAATAATGACTTAACTGATCAACAGATGATAGGTTCTTACTCATTACCTACAAGGAGTCTCCTTTAAGAGGTTGCTCCTATATTGCTACTGATGAAATTTTCTTGTGACAAATTTCACCTCTTTGACCAGTTGAAAATACTATATATATATCTGGAAAATGTTTCTTTTTTCAACAAATGATATATTTTTATTGCTACTCACATCAAAGAGCTCCTCATTAGAAAGATTACTCTTATACTGCTGCTGATAAGACTTTTATGTAACAAATTTCACCATCCTGACTAGTTGAAAATACTATACATATATGGAAAATGCTTCTTTTTTCCTTGTATGTTTTTACCTCCTAAATGCCTCAATTAAAGGTCCACTAAATAATAGAATACCGAATAGTCAAAACATTCTCATTGATAGAAAGAATGATTTAACTGAAAAGAGGACGGGTGTCTAGCATTACTCTGACCCGTATATTTTTGGGTTTATTCAGTGAGGTGGTGGAAGAATACGAGAAGGAGATGAAAAAGCTGGCGGGGAGAATGATGAAGCTAATCTTGGAGTCATTGGGGGTGGCAGAGGAAGATGCAAAATGGGGTGTGGAATCCAAAGGAAGGTGTTCTGCCCTGCAGCTCAACTCCTACCCGGCATGCCCTGATCCGGGTCGGGCCATGGGGCTAGCAGAGCACACGGATTCCACCGTCCTCACCATCCTCCACCAGAACAACACCAGCGGCCTGCAGGTCTTCCGGGAAGGCGCCGCCGGAGGCTGGGTCACCGTGCCGCCCATCCCCGGCGCGCTCGTCATAAACGCCGGCGACCTCCTCCACATACTCTCCAACGGGCTCTACCACAGCGTGCTCCACCGCGCGGTGGTCAACCGGAGCAGCCACCGCCTCTCGGTGGCGTACCTGTACGGCCCGCCGCCGGGGATCAAGATATCGCCGCTGCCGAAGCTGGTGGCGGAAGGGCAGCCGCCGCTGTTCAGGGCAATCACGTGGAGCGAGTATCTTCGCACCAAAGCCAAGCACTTCGACAAGGCGCTGTCCTCCGTCCGACTAATTTGCGCCCCTAGAAACCCATTTTCCGATACCAACGATCATAATCGGGTCCGGGTTGGCTAAGCTTAATTTGCATTATATTGTTAATTCATCTTTTATTGTATTGTAACACCCATTGAGGATAATAATTAATTAAGAAACACAATTTTTGTTTCCTTAATAAACATCACCCTTTAATTTAATTAATTAAAATTTAAGAATACTATTATATCCACTTCTTGAGAGAGCAGCGATATTGAAATAGTTAAAGCAATGACAGTGACATTGAAGCACTTACTATACGTTACTCAAATTGATTTGCTTTCACCATATTTTAATTTATCATTACAGTTAGAGCAATAGACCGCTCTAGTTGAAATATAATATAATTTATTCACACACTACACCTTTTTGAAAAGCGTTTAGAGCTAGTAAACTGATTATACATTTTATGATATAAGATTTGAATTTGAAACCGTCCGTTCAAATAATATTTTAAATGTCAACTCGACTATGCATGTATACCCCCTGAATTTCGGGCACACATACACATAGCTAGGCACATAAGGATATTGGAGGGGAAATGAGGGGGGAAAATTATGCAAGGATATTTATGGAGGTGGAGGTGGGGGGCATAAAGGCGAGAGGACATTTTAAAGGAGCAATTCAGCACAATCAAATCATGAAGGGGATCCCAACAAAAATATAAGTCTCTGTTGGGCTTTTCTGTCTCCCAGTGTATATAGAATTTTAGAGATCAGAGAGGGAAGCTAAGGCAATAAATTATTTATTATTTTTGGCCAATTTGAATATATATATATATATATATATATATATATATATATATATATATATCACTGTTTAAGTGAGTCCACCCATCCATGAGTCAGTGTGGACAGATCTGATCCATTAAAAGTTAAAGATCAATGGTCAAATCTGGTCCATTATCAACTGTGCAACTATGCTATTGTGCAGGCCCCCGTCGGCCCCCAAGCCCGCGGGTTAGGTGGGGGTGGGCTGAAAAGTTCACCAAAATACGGGCCCAAAATATTAAAGCCCGCTTGCTCTTTTCACAGGGCGGGCTAAGCCCGTTTTGACGATTCTGGGAGGGGATGGACTCATTTGATCATGAGTGTATATATATATATATATATATATATATATATATATATATATATATATATATATATATATAAGGGATCAGGTGCGGGAGGGGGCTTCCTGTGCGGTTGGACGCACATTAAGCATTAACTGATGCACTTTAAGTACATAACACAAGCACATTAAGTACACTAACAAAACACCTGCAGAACACAAACTCACGCACGTTAAGCACAAAACTCACGCATGTCAAGTACAAGCCTCACGCATGTTAAGCACAAGCCGCATGCACCTTAAGCACAGAACTCAGACACCTTTTAAGTTTTAACAACTACTCACATTAAGCACAAAACTCACGCATGTTAAGCACAAAACTCACGCACCGTAAGCACAAAACTCACGCACTTAAACACAAAACTCATCACTCACTTAAGTTTTCAACAATTCACATTAAGCACAAACTTAACGCACATTAAACACCAGACTCACGTACTTGAAGTACAAAATGGACGCACGTTAAAACCGTACAACCGCACGAGAACACTTAAATGCACGGGAACTTTTTTCTCTCTCTATATAGTGAAAAGAAGTGGCAGTAGAAAAAGACACAAGAACGGACATCTTTCAGCTTGCCCCGGATATGAAGGAAGATCCCTCTCACAATGAAACACCAACATACAATTAATAGGACACAGCCTTTAGCTAGTTTAGCTACAAGTTGAACCATCACTGGATTGGATTGGATTGGATTGAGGAACAAAACAAAATAATTTAAATCTATCATTAATTTCCATACACAAAACCAGCCCCACCCCCCTCTTGGCCTTTTCTCCATTAAAATTCCACTCAACTTTCTTTTTTCAATTACTTATCTTGTCACAATCTATAAGTTCCACTTCACCGGTGATAATAAGTGTACCAAGAAATTAATAGGTGTGCAAATTAAATGACAACAAAATTCAAAGATCTTCGATTGAGTCTTCATGTGTTTGGTTTTCTCCTAGTAATATATAACTGTTCATGATAAGAAACGACATATATAGGTGTACATATTAGATGTCAATAGAGTTCAAAGATCTTTTATTTGATCATTTGGATCTCCGGCACAATGGTGGACATCATAGGGTATGCTTCCAGATGACAACAAAGTTCAAAGATTTGATCTTCAGTTGGCTGGGTCTCCATGTCTTTGATTCTCCGAGTGGGATGTGGCAGTAACTACTATATAACTGTAAGAAAATAAAGTTGTATATTAGTTATTAGTTCTAACTTCGGGCAAAATGATACATTAGACCTAATTTGGTATATATGAGAATATGACTATTATTTCTTAGATGGGTAGCATTAATGTGACTTTGCAACATTTTAGGTAGTTTGTTTGCATTTTAATCATAAACAATAAAAATAAAATTAACCTAGCTACTTTGTTTTAATCTTTAAATGTTGTCATAGCTAAGTACCTTGGAATCTGATGACATAATTGTTGCTTTCCATACGGAAGAACCAGGAACCAGTGGAGCCAAGGATAAAAGACTAGGTACGAGCTAGGTATGAACCAGGCTACCATGATGGAACTAGAAACTGAGATCTAGGTGGAACCGAGTGGAGTCAGGAATCGGACAAGGTATGAGCTAGATATGAACTAGGGTATCATATATGGTCATGGCCGGATTTTAGGTTTGTGTGGCCCTGTTCTGGTAAATAACTGAGGCCCTCCAAAATCTGAATTTGTAAAAGTAACATATGGGAGTTTCGAACCTTTGACCTCCAAGTTAAAATACAATATATACATATTTCTACCATCTCTTCATAGAACCTTCTTAAATTAATTGTAAACTTTTAATTTTTATTTCTAAACAAGCTAGGTAAATATTAAATATTGGACCTCTAAAATTTGGAGCCCCTCTAAAATTGGAGGCCCTGTGCGGTAGCCCAGCTTACACAGCCTAAAATCCGGCCCTGTATATGGTCGAACCAGTGGAGCCGAAACTGAGGTCTAGGTGCGAGCTAGGTATGACCCAGGAACATGTCAAAACCAAAAAAATAAGGCAAACAAAACAAAACCCTAAAACCAAAAAAAAAAAAAAAAAAATGTTGCCATAGAATGGACGATCTTGATTAATGGAATTATGTAAGGTTTAATTTAATGGTCATTATTCAATATGCGTGCGATGATTATTACGCCAATTCAATCATATCATATCAATCAATATTTCTTTTCAAAATGGAAAGTATATATTATAGTCTCGGGTATTGGCTTGATGAATAAAAAGTTTCACTTAATTAACTATAAGTTTTCAAGTTCAACTTTCTATAAAAGTTGTCTATTGGTCTTTTTTGTTTGAATCGATGAACAACTTAGATTGATTAACCTCTTTGTGGTCATTTTTCGGCTAGGTTTACAAAGGAGGCTTCACCCAGAGTGCACGGGCTTTCCCAAATATCAAAGAGGTAAATCAGTTTAAGTTGCTCATAGAGTCATAGTTGAATATTCTTAGATTTGCTTTCAGTGTCAGTGTGAGGGTTCGATTTCTGCCACGAACATTAGGGGTTTAAGTTGAGCTCCTTGTCTACAGTTTGGAGTTGAATCTCAACTCAAAGTTAAATTGATTTATTACCTTCTTATGGACTTAGGGAGTGCCAGAGTGGGTTCATGAAGTCTAAAATATAATTTGATGAAGCCGAGAAATTTTAACTTACTAAAAAAAAAAAGAGTATATATTATATTATGGTACTTGGTGAATAAGATTTTAACATTTTATTATAACGGTCATTCACCACAACATGAAGAATAATTGAATAGTTGCTCTTCAACTATTCAAATCAGTGAGGCAAAGACTTATTATATTGCAAGAGGTTGATTGAGTTGAGCTGAGGACCTGAGGTTAATAAGATGATACTATTTTTATCACCTGAATATAGGAACATTTCTATATTTTATGGTTTTTTTTTCATTATCTTTTCCCCTTTTAATTATTATGAGGGGAAAACCCTTTTTTCAAACTAAAATTATTAAAATCTTAATTTTCTTATTAAAACCACTACCCCCTTCATTCTAAACCACTACCCACTTTGATTGGGTTATACGGACACTCTACTCGTCTAATAACTCGAGTGTCACTAATAATAATTACATATGCCATCATTTCACCAACTATTACATTAGTAATCACAGTTTACCGTAACCAAATTAAATTGAGTACCTAATTGGGGCATGCCACATCAATTGCGTTAGTAGCTAACCATCATTTTCAAGATTATAGGGATCATAAAGTTATGAGAAATGATAAGTGCATGTTTATAGTATAGAAGAAGGAAGATGGAGAAAGCTTTATTCATGTAGATGAATCTGGAAAATTACAAGATTGAAACTAAATCTCTTGCTATATATACAAATTAAACTCTCTTTCTGTAAAGTCTCTCTCTCTCTCTATGTAAACTCATATCCTGTGTAGTAAAACAAAGTAACAAAATCTATATATATAGACAAGTTGAGTCACAATATAATCATCTAGAATTATCTAGAAAATCCTTCTAACAAACACACTCTTATATATGTTCAAACACTTCTAGCAGACTTACTGAGCTGGCTACAGAGATATAGAATGTTCTGGAATATAACTGTTCATCCAATATGCTTGGACTGTTATCAGAGTTGAACAAAAGGCGGAAAAACACAATAATAATCCTACGGAAAATGAATATTATTTTTTCTGGAAAACTGGAAATTTCTGGGAAAAACAACAACAAGGACAAAATGGATTTCTGGGTCTGTTCTCCGTAAAACCTAATTTGCTGCCTTCCAAAGGTGCTAGGAACGTTGCAACCTAGATTTCCATGATAAAATGTACTACGATTCTAAGTTTTGAGCACTCAAACTTAGAACGCAGCGAACTAGGGCGTGGGAAGAACACAGAAGGTTGAAGAAGAAAGAAGAGCAAGGTTTTGAGGGATAAATCGTGTGATTTCAGCTTCTAAAAACCACCTGTTCAACCACAACTTTATTAGGAGAAGAGGAATTAATTACATTAAACAATGACATTAAAACTGATAATAAATCAGTCATTGTAACCTCT